AATTGTATTGTGTGTGCCTCGCCATCCCTGCCACTGCAAAGGGACTCTGCGCTTTTCTCTGTAACATGAGACTGGAAGAAGGAGAGCAGAGGAGGAAAGCATGCCATTGCTAGGAGACTTGCATGCGCTCAATCTACTATCCTTTAACACACAAAAAGCTCCTCACATGAAGCCCAACACCCACGTATCCCAGTTTTCGGGTTTGCACGTGGCTGAAGTCATTTAGTGTGACTGCATGACACTAATCTGTCTCTCTTCCTTGCATTAGATAATGAGAAGCCCAGCATTTTTACGGGAAGAGGTAAACGTTTTCTTCTTTTCCAGTCACATATTTCCATAATAGTCTCTAATAAAAACAAAAAATAGAGCTCATGGTGGTTGCTCTATAGAGGGGGGTACCTGAGAGTGGCAAAAACATGGGAAGAAAAATGTAAGCGATGACTGTCAAGGTCTGTGCAGGGTTTGGGTGGATAACACGGTCAAAGGGAAAAAATCCTCCACTCAGAAAATCTCAAAGGCCAAAGTCATCTTTATTCATGAGGAAAAGTAGTTCTTCAAGCGAACGGTGCTAATGATGTTCTCTGCTTCTTCCTACCATGTGCGAAGCGTCTATCCATAAACTAAGATCAAGATATTTTGAAATGGCTCCTGAGGATCATTTAGGTATTTTTTTTCATCTCTTTCTGGAAATAATAGATCTGTTTCAATATTAATTTTAAGCTCCCAGCATTACTACTCTGTTAATCTCAGCTATGATAACACATCATAACAGCAATGCTTTTATAGGTGAAGAGCCCTGGTTTTGCTCTAGTTCTTTCACAGAAATGTATGGAGGGAGTGATGATGCTGCCCCGTTCTCTGAAGGTTACCTGTGCCAAAGTGGCCCTGGGGCAGCAGAAGCACGCCCAGCGACCGCCCTGCCCTGCTCGGGGGCACGCAGGGCTTGGCGCTGCCCTTCCCTCAAAGCTCCCTTTGGCTGCAAGAGGAGAAGAGTTTGGGGCCACCTCTGCAGCACGACCCGTTTCCATAGCAGGTGCCCAGCCCTACGTGGGTGTGATGGTCAGGCAGGCACGGCTACTCGAGGGCACAGGGATGTCCCCGCTGGATCTGGGGTTGGTACTCGCCAGAGCATCGCTGAGCACCATTGCTCTCTGTCGTTGCACACCGGCACAGCGGGAGTGGTTGGGAAGGAGAAGGGGGAAACAGGGTGCTTGGCTAGCGGAACCAAGGGAGGTTTTGCTTGGGCTGTTTTGGGGGGTGTTGCAATTTCTCATGTTGTGTTCATCTGCCAGTAACAGCTCTTGTCTGGGGCTGCAGCACTCCGGAGGGGCCACGCTGTGAGCCTGTGCTGGTGCTGTAGCTCTGGATGTTGGGGGTTTTCTCCCTGTTGGGACATCTTGTTTTAAGCAAAGTTCTCCACAGAAGTCAGCAAAGCACTCTGCTAAAAAGGCTTCTGTCACAGTACTCTTCCTGGTTACTTAGCCAACATAGAGAAAAATGTCTCATTAAACTCGTGTTACTAATTTTAAGTGTTTCAGCTGCCAGGCTAAGAGACAGAACGAGAGCACAACCTGTTGGTAAGCATTACATATACTAGTCCCACTTTAATATAACTGTAATGTACAGCTTTTCATACAATAATGTTTTTTCTGACTGCATTAACGCTATGAAAACCCTTTACCTCTTCTTGCAAACCTTGGCTGGTTCTTTCCACGTAAGTGTAAAATATCTCTGGAGCCCATGAGAAAGCATCTCTGTCTCGAGGCTATAACCACCAACAGAATCGTAGCACAACAGATCTTCAGCCTCAGCTTTATTGAGGGTTCATTGTCCTTAATAAACTCTGTTTAAAAATCTGTTGTTTTCATTCATGTCAAGATGCTGTGTCTGAGTGGGCTTTTCAATAATTATTACTGTGTTGATTTTAATCATTCTATTCTATTCTATAAAAGCTATAACTAATATTTTTTTGTATAAATTGGTCGGGTGATTTCAGGCCAGGATTTCCTTTGCATGCTAACATTGTTTTTCTGGCTTTTCAGTCAACGAATATCCGCAGCTTCTCTTGCAACTACCCAAACAAAATGAAAGGATCTGTTTAAATACTGATGGAAAAGCACAGCCCTCTGTCCACCTGCTGTCAGATCCAGAGCAAGGTCAGTGATTAGCCCTGACACCAAGGGGTACAAGGAGAGTCACTTTGGTGAGAGCAGTTGGTGTCTTTGGGAATAACTCCCTTTCCTGAAGGGCCATATCATACCTGCTGTCTTGCAGTGAGTGGAGAGACTGTGGTTAACTTTTCCTTTCTATTAGGCAATATTGTCATCAGCTGCAGGCCCCTCTCACAGGCCTGGCTGTGGGTCACCTCCTTCTGGTGTCACGTCCGTGGCCTTGAGGCTTTTCCCCTGCCTAGCCCTGGGGATCTTCTGAGGATGTAGAGATGTTAAACCCCGTGGTCCCTACATGCTAACGGAGAGATGCACGCTCTCAACGCACTGCGGTTGTTCTTTGGCCCTGTAGTCAGCGCAGCCATGGCCCCAGGCACCGGTTGTCAGCTGCTCTGCTTATGGAAGGGAGGTGGCAACGTGGGGGTGAACAGACTGTGGTGATGCCACCGCAGCCTCGGGGCACGTGGAGCTGAAACCCAGGGTACTGTGCATCCCAAAACTAGATTTGAGACCCAGAAGTTGTTTCAGCAACAAAGTTGAGGCAGTTTCATTAAGATCGTCTGTACCTTAAAAGCACCGTCACTTGTCAAATCTGTGTCAATGTTCCTGAAGGACTCACTGTGACGGGGAAACTTGGAGATGGAATAAATCACTTTGTGCAGTTCGACATTGACTATGTGAATCCCCCTGCACGAATCCACGTCTCCACGGATGAGATCGTCCTAAGCCACAATAATGAGAGCACTCGGCTGCCATGGACAGAGTCAGCCACCTCCACCGTCCAGGGGTAAGAAACGTCACCCTGTCCTTTCCCAGACTTAGAAATGGGCCAGATCTTTTTTCATCCAGGGCTCCATTTCAACATTTTGTCAAGTAAGTGCTTCCAGATGTCCTTGTTTGGTGAGTAACTCAACGTGAGCGGAGGCAGGTACCTTCGCACTTCCCCGTCTCAAAGACGGAAGACAAAAAAGACTGGATTTTAACTCTCTGTGCCTGTGCAGGAGAATCAAAACCACTGCACCATCAGCCTGTCTTTCTGCTGCCACGTCAGAGGCAGAACATTTCTCTTCCAAAGAAAAGGACCTGCTGCGGTGCACAGCAGCCCCTGTGCCACCCTGTGTAACCTCCTGCCACGGCACTGCGGGGACGTTTGCTGTCCCTGTCATATATCAGCGGGCTCCACACAGGCTGAGGTTCTCTTCCTCCCCACTTTTAGCAATAACCCACATCTGGGCAGCTGACAGTTTTCATGGGAAGGCATGAAGGGCTTGCAGAGCTGTCTTTGTCAGACTAATTAGAGCAGGATCCTGCACTGCCACCAGAAAGAGCTGAAGGTAATGAAAGATCCCCCAGCTTTTTTGCAAACCTCTGGGAGGATCTGCTGTTGGTCAGGGACAGACAGGACACACAGCAGTTACAGCCAGCTCTAGACAGTAACAGAAGTCCTAAAACACCTGCTTTCAGTTATTTTTGTAATCCAAACGGAGCCAAGAACGTGCTGGATTTATGCCCCTCGATAATTTGTCGCCCGTCAAGCGGAACGATCCTCCTGCTTCAACCCACCGTCCCAGGCCTCGCGACCGCAGCTTTGCACGCCAGCACGTGTGGTGTGTTTTTTTCTAACCTGGTCTGCAAGGGAGGAAAATGGCAGTGAGGGGGGTTCTGCAAGCCCACCTGGCGTCAGAATAAAAGGAATGGGGTAGAAGGAAGGCAGGGTCTGAAAATCTTGTGAAATATCCAAGAAAAGAGTATGGTTCCTGAAATAGATGGCATTATTTTATCTAGAGAAAAGTAACAAAACAATATTGTGGTGTTTTCCATCCAAGCATTTCTTGTCATTATGGACAATAAGGTGCTTACATCAGCACAAAGTTCTTCTCTGTCGGTGTATTTGCATGTAGCCTGATACGGGCAAGATGTCTTGTGCAGCACAGAGAGAGAAGATGATACACTACTTCGTGTTTTCTTGCTTAAAACAACCGCCGACAGGTCATGAAAAATGCAATGCCAGAGACAAAAGGCAAAAATTAACTTATTTGAACTCACTTATATCAGCTAGTTAAACACATAATCTTTCCTCATACTCTTCCTGGAAATAACGTTGTAATTTACTTCCCAGGCTGACAGTCTCGGTGGAAAAGGAAAGGAGCGTTACAGCATCACTGTCTGACAGAGTCACAGTGAAAATTTCCTTTGTGAAGTTTCCGGGTGCTTTCCTTGGGCTGTATTTCTTGAACACCGACTGGTTTTCTGACAGAGTCAGCGGAGTTCTGGGTGCGTATCCGGGTGGATGTATACAGCCAAGGAGGATGATCCTGTAACTAAGCCCCTGCCGTGGGAACACGGTGCTTGTCTTTGTGAGCCACACCATAAGCTTTTATTCAGCTTTTACTCCCCTGGGTCCTGAAAATCAGTGGGCAGGCAAGGCAGCAGGAGTGCTTAAATTCAGGGTTTATAGAGAAACTTTAATGTGTTCTTTTCCGACATCTAACGTCGCCCTGTACTGCACAGCAACCCAGGCCCTACTCTGCCAAGAGGAAAGGCCTTGCCCCCGAAATGTAACGTAGAGCTTTTCCGCTCACCGGTGGGACAAGCCTAAACAGACTATTATGGGTTTAGAAAACATTAAAATAAGGCTAAAATAATAGTTAGGCTTAACCTCAACAGTGCTGTGATATGACATAATTTATGCAGCAGATTCATTTGATGTCAAATAATGGACTATAAATAATGGACATAAACTTGTAAACAGTCGGGGTTAGAAAATTAAAGCCAGCTGGTCCTGAAGATCCCAACTCCAAAAATCCCGATGGGAGTGGAGTTGTTTCCAAAACTCTGCAAATGGAGAGGCTGCGTATGCTAAAACCACCGACAACATGTGAAAACCCCTCAGAGCGAGGCTGAATCTCTGCGGAGATTAGGGATAACAGGAGATCACAGCTGGAACTCGGGAATTTTCTTAACTTCCTAAGGGACCTTCCCAACGTGGTGTTTTCTGCCTGTTTTCTGAGGCAGATGCTGCCTTCCTAGTGTTACTGCAGCCATTTGGGTTAAATGAACAACGGCGTTCTGGTGGTTTGCATTTTTAAATAATTTGTGTGTCTGCTGCTTAGGTCAATTTTATTCAAAAGTGCAATTGGAGAGTCGTTCCAGTCAGGGAGCTGACGAGAGACTGCTCAGCGTGTCTGGATCCCAACACAGAGTTACCAGGTAACGGGCATGGGGTAAGGGTGAGCGATGTACGAGCTTCGGGGTGTGTTTTATCAGCCGATACCAGAAACCAAAAGAAATTCGACTAAAGAGAGTGTTTGTCTGGAAGAATACACCTTTTTGGTGTAAATCATAGGAACTTGCGCTTGAGATTTTTCCCTAGCAGCCTGAATGTGTCGCTTGGGAAGGGATGCAACCGGGCTCTAAGCTTCAGGGGGGGAGTGGGAGTCATACCCTGGGGCTATGCCTTGCATAACAACCTCTAAGTAAGTTTCTGCCGCCTCCTTGGATAGAGGGAAGGTGTTTCCTCAGCTGGATTTACCACAGGAAAATATTCTTGCACTTAAGCTGCTTTTAGCACGTCTGTGGCGTGGCAGAAAGGCTGTGGGCGGGCAGGTTCTGCCTGCTGTCCCCTCCAGCGCCGCCTCCAGCTCTGGGAGCGGAGAGGTGCCAGCTCTGCCCACACACTGTCCGTCTTGGCACCACCTACAAAGCTGAGGTCGGTCCTGGGCCTGTCCTTTGGTCATTTTGTAACAGTTTTTTCTTGTTTTGATTTTGTTTCAGGCAATACAAGAAAGATTACAGGCTTGAGTCAACCAGTGATCCTGCTCCCTGCTGGTCAATAGCTATAACTCCCTAGAACAGAGCATTCTGGGAAAGAAAACTCTGCCAATGATGCTTTCCAAACATTTTTGATACTTTCTCTCACCAAGAAAACCACAAAGTTAAAGCTTTACCTGTTACTATAGATAAACATCTCCAGTATTTTACCTCAAATCATTATACTTTCACAATGAGAAGGTGATTGATTGCTATTTTAAAATGTTATTTTTTGCTTGCTGTTGGCTATTTTATAATACTCAATCAGATCTATGTGAATGAACCAAATAAAATTGACATTATCAGCTCACAGCCTGATAGGGACATATAAAAAAACAATAAAAATGGCATCACCCAACCCAATAAATGTGTCATGGAAGCAGGAACAGATTTCTAAAATACACACCCCTACCCAGTTACAAATGACGGTGTTCTGGAACCTTGTGTTTTGTAAACAGACTATGAAGTTCACAGCAGCATTAGTTTACCATTTCTCTCATTTTTTAGTTTATGGGAAAAGAGCAGCCTTGCTGCATTAGGGTTCTCTGGAGATCCGTCTGTAAGGCTGGTCGGAGCTGATGGAATTAGCACGAGCACCGCGAGTGGGGAAGGCAGCCCACGCTGGCTGCAGCCTGTGCATTGCTGGGAAGTTTCTGAGGCGCCGAGCAGAGAGGGACTTGTTGGGACACAGAGCGCTGCCTTGTTGTAAAAGCATTTCAAGCCTGAAATTTAGCAGCTTACTTTTTTTTTTTTTTTGGCACCGTTTCATACAACGGTTTGCAAACATTGGAAGATGCTTCAGGAACAGCCAGGAACCCAAACCGGCACGAGGTGCACGGAAGGGACCTTTGAGAGGGAAGGCGCACACACAAGCCTCTGCCCCTGGAATGCCCGTTGTAGTTTCTGTCTTCATGCTGGTTTCCTAAATCGTAATTCCATAATTATTTTGTGCTTCAGAGTTTCAGTTCCTGCGTATCTTTGATAATAAACATGCCAGCAATGTAGAAGGTTTCACGAAGGTTGCTTGCTATCCTGCCGACAATATATAACTGGGAAAACAGTATCATTTTAAAGCTGCTGAAAGAGGAGCAGTTTCTTGCCAAAGGCAGTAAGGTAAAGCAAACTATGCAATGAGAAGCCTGTGTTTTAAAAGAACTGCCCGGACACGGTGCCAAGACCTGTCTGTGTGAGCGGCTTGTACTTTGTGGAGATGCGGACTTGGCTGGACAAATTACAGGACAGACAAGGTGGCATTTGGAAACTGGAAACGCCAGATTGCTCGCTTTGCCACAGTTAGCAGAGCGGGAGATGATTTCCATTGTTACTTGACCTACATGCTGTTGGCGCTGGGTTTTATCAGCGGGCTTGCTGCCAATTAAAAATTGGTGTGTCCCGGTTGCCGCCTCCACCTGCCTGCTGCCGGCCGGGATAGCAAGAGCACCGACACCGGCCAGGCGTGCCTGGAGGGCAGCTTGCTCCTTGGCCCCCCGGCTTTAAGTGAGGCTGGAGTGTGCGCAGACCGCTCTTGAGAGCCTCCCGTCAAGCCACCCGCTGAAACCTGCGGTTGCCCAGTGTCCCAGGCAGCCTGTTGCCCCCTCACCGTGCTGCAAGGACGCAGACGCTGCTGGTCTTGCTAGGTGAAAGAAGAGCAGATGTCAGCCTTCCTCACAGCAACTTTTTACTGGGCTTGTCCCCTCACTGCCTACAGCCTCTCTGCAAAGCTGTTCCCATCCTCCAGACTGCATCCAACCGGCTGCGCTGCGTTGAGGTGCCGTGCTCAGGGGACAGCACCCGTGGCCACCCCCGGCGGAGGGAGCCTCTCAGGTCTTCGAAGAGGTGCTGGCCATCTGCGCCCGCAGGGGTGTCTGTCCTCTCGGCTACTGCGACTCCCAAATCCCTTCCACAGTGCTGCTTCCCCTCTGCTCGTGTGCTTGCCGTGCCGTAAGCATGTCCCGTGTCGCTCCGCTTCGCCAGGCAGGTAGGCCGAGATCCGCCGCCGGTGTGTTCTCTTTTAATTGAACAGGTGAGTCCAGGACCAGCCCTGACGGGCCAGCCCACCGCTCCTGCCTCAGGAGCCAGAATGGATCGTTGCCTTGTTTTCTCTTGCTCCAGCTCATTCATGGTCTTAGAATAAAAATTCAGAACCACGTAAAGTTAACCTGACTTGTTCAGATTTTCTGGTCTTCTCGCCCTTTCTCTCCCTGCCTTCCTCACTCCCCAATGACTTGCTACTTCCTGTAGCCTTCCAGTTCCCCACGCACCGACTTCTCTCCTTGTCATGCAGCAGAGGGAAATGTGAGCCCACAGTTGCCTCGCTATGGCCGATTTCATTAACAGAAAACTCCAAGTAAGAAAGAAATCTGCTTATTTTTTGCTTCAGAATAGCTTACCATTTCTTCCAGTACAAAACGAGTATGTGAACAAATGGGGCACCTCCTGCCTGGAAATGCAAACGTAAATTCTGTTACGGGACCAGAGGGAGGAGTTTTACTGGAAAAGAGTAATGGGGCTTCACTGAAGGGTCTTACACAGAGAAGATACTGTGCGGATGACAGCTATAACTTGGACCTGAGTGCTGTTTGCAGCTGTGGCATTTCACTGATGCGTACAGAAGTGGGCATAGGGAAGTCAGGTTCAAATCCAAATACTGAAACACCGAAGTCCTGGCCGCTAGCGGGCAGCTGGAGCACTGGTGCTGCCACTGGCACTGCTGGAGTAACAGAACAAGGCATTCAGTACGGATGCTTTTATTGAAATCACTCCTGACACTCAGTTATTCATTTGAAATTGGGTAGAATGTTTCTGTTGTGGTTTACAAAGTAAAAATTTAAGTCAATTTTAAAGCTAGTAAATTAATTCTGTAAAAGGAGTTTTTCTCAGGGGATGAGTGATATCTCCCCATACAAGCAGAACAGCTGTTTAGCACTTAAGATTTGATCAGATACGCAGTAAAACTCTCTGTGAGAATCCGTGATATCTTGGCATTGCCAAACATGATAACACTATGCATGTGTAATAGTTTTTAAACACTGAAAAATATTGTTTTTTTCAGAAAAATACTCTGTATACCCAGGAATTTGGAGGAAGTTGTAGTTGTTTAAAACAGACTGGAAACAGTATAGTCCGTATGAACACCATCTATCAGCCCAGCTCCATTGTTATGAACAAACCAGCAAGGAATATCAACGCCGTGCTCAGGATCGCTTCTGTAATCCTTCTGCCAGCCCCTGCAAGGGAAAACACCGTCACGGGACCACCGAAGCAGCAGCTGCACTCTGACAAGGTAATCTTGCCTAAGTCTTCACTAAAGACTTAATTATCTTTTACCTCGTTACTGTCAGTTCATTGTTTTTAACAATCATTGTGGCATCTGGTTTCTTGGGATCAGAGCCGGGATGAATTTCAAGTATGGTGAAGTCAATGGGGTGGAAAAACTGTCCTAAAAAGAGAAGCCAGAATTCCCTTTTCAGACACGTCGCACACGTTAAAACAGAAACAAACCAAACAGGAGGAATAGTGCAGGAAGAAAAAACCTGTAGGTGGGATTTAGCAAGATAAAGAGGTTTAAAGATGCCGGTGAGGACAAAGGATGCTAGTGGTTTCAGCAGCAGCAGAGGAATGTACGACAAGGTAACGCACCAAGTCTGAGCCCAGAATATCGTGCTAGAAATCTCAGTAGAGCCAACCAATGTCACTGTCTCAGTTCGGAAAGGCTAAGTACAAGATTGTGTCGCCAAATTAGGCATCCTCGTAAGGAAAGGCAAGCATGAAAACACTAAATTAAGTCATACCTAACAATCCATGGGTCTGCTCAGACAGTTCATCACTTTCCAATGTGTACAGTCCTAGGAAATCTTGGTGGAGAGGGTGTTTCTTCCATACTTGGTGCAAAACAATAACAAATGAGGCACCGCTGCCCATTGAGAGCACCAGATTTTGGTTTTTGTTAATTCTCAAAGTTAAACTGAGGAAAAAAGAAAAACTTGACTTAGGACATTGTGATTCCCAGGATTGACAGCAACATGAGAAACTTGGGAAGAAGAAACGTGTCCAACAAACAAACATGGTCTTATAAATTGCTCAGTGTTTTGTAAAACAGAGGTTTTGCTGCCTAGATTGGCCCATGTGACTCTGTGTGTGTTCACGGACAGCCCAAGACTCACACTAAATTACACGCTAAAAGCCCACCTAGCCTTTAAGCTTTTCAGCAAGATGTTTCTACCAAAACTCGTCCTATAACAGGGCAAGAGGTTAGTGATATGAAGGTGCAGTGCTGCATGTTCAATAATTCTATAAGAACTGTATTGCTAGAAACATCCCTTTCTTGTTGGATGCTACCTGGCACCTTTTCCTTTTGTTTTTCAGATAAGAAAACCCCCAAACTCTCTAGGTTAGTGCTAGGATACGGAAGATTTGCTTCTGATTGTGTCAGTGATACCAACAACGTGGCTATTGTAATAAAAATAACCCTGCTGTATGAGTAAGGGGTTTGCTCCGGTTTCTGTTGCAGTGCCATGCTTTGATGCTGCCCAGTTCTTTCCTAAACTTCCTTTTGTAGTTTCTGTTGCAGTGCCATGCTTTGAGAGGGCAGTAATTTTGGCCCAGGTGTACAGTGAAAATGTGAATGAGGAGGAGGAGAAGATGCTGCCCAGTTCTTTCCTAAACCTCCTTTTGTGCAGGTACAAATGATTCTGTAAGAGATAAATCTCGGGGAAAAATATACCTGCTGACAGGGCAAAATGTACCGAAATATCACAATTCCCATTTCTTAAATTGGAGATTGGTTACAGCACGTTATTATCTCTTTGTTCAGGAGGTTACACACTATGTCTGAAGTTACTCTTTAAGTATTTGCAAGACGCTGTAGCATTAAGCACAACACCAAGCCTAGGTTTACCTTAGTCATATCATTAAAAATCAGGAAAAACCCTTCACTTACTTATTCCAAGCAGAAGAATTTATGAATAATCATTCAGCTTTTACATAACATAGCAGAGAGCATAATCCAGCAGGACTTGGATCAGATTCTTTTGTATATTCAGACAACAAATCTATGTTGTTGATCAACATTAAAAAGTGTAGAGAGTATAGAGGAGCGTGACACCCCCGCTGTAGGCCTTACCCTGCTTGTTGCAAGGTGACTGAGTCAAGCCAGGTGAAACCAGTTGTTTCATTGCCGTTCTGAATTGTGATCTTCTCAGGAGTTACTGTCAGTTTTAAATCCAGGTGCTTATTGGCAATGCCAAGTTTTCCAAAATAGGTGTTTTGGATCTTTGCATCGCTATTTGCTCTCTTATCACCAATGAGCTCTCCTCTGACTGTGATGCCTAATACAAAAATGAAACATCAAGTATTGTTTTGTAGGTAGGACCTGGTCAACTGATGTCAAGGAGTGTCGTGGAAATTTAACAACTCAAGGAAACAAACACAGGCAGAAAAATACATCAGAATTCTTTGTGCCTATTTGGGCCAACGTTGAATAACGCTCTGGGGAGCATTCGGTGGATTTCCACAAGGGCAACAATCACTTTGTTGAGAAAAGTTTAGTATTTCCTAGAGCACAGAGAGTCTGTGATGGGCACAAACAGCCTGTGTGACACTGGTCTGTCTTTCCCAAGGCATTCCATAAAATGGCAACCTAAGGATTATTGTATTGCTTGTACGACAACTCACTGAGAGAAAGGATGTCTCTCGACTCTCACAGTGGTTTTCAAACAAAGCTTAAAAGTTCACTTTGCTCCAAGAATTGAAAACACAGTCACAGTAATGGTGCCCTATCGCAGCTGCAGGAACTCTTACTAACTTTGCTGGGAAAAAAACTTACGCAGTAAAAAAAGAGAGAAACAGCCTTTAAAGAGAAGACATTTTGTTATAAGTATCCTGATTTACTGTATTTCAAAAAATCAAAAACTCACCTGTAACTGGGTCATTTATTAAGTTTAACACAGCACCTGGGTTTTCATTGATATTGAAACAAATGGCATCTTCTTTTTGTGGCACCGATATAATGAAGTGCGGATCTCCATCGACTGTAAAGGCAAATCGCTGGTATTTGTGTAGTGACACAGAGGTTCAAAGTTCCGCGTGAACAATTAACGTGGCAATGGAACTGCTGATGCTGGGGACCAGCAGGAACTGGTCCCTGCACAAGCTGTATTCCCAGCTTAGCCCACCCCATCCCAACTAGCGGTGGGGTCCCAAGGAAGCTGCTACCATCTCCACAAAGTGAACCACATCCATCTTCCTCTCACCTTTCCCAGGTATGTGACATATATCCTGTGTCTCTTGACCACTGCAAAATTTGGCACATGGATTGTAGGCTCAGGATGGCCACCTCTAAGTGTTTATCTCTGAGGGCCACGAGCGTATTACTGAGGGCAGGAAGTTCATCTGACTAGAGACTGGGAAGTTACCAACACAAAGCCTAGTGATGGGAAGGAGGACTAAGAAAATGATCATGTATGACCTCAGTGACTTGATCTTTATAATACATTTATAGATGTTTAACGTAAATTAAAATACTAGGCCCTTGGATATAAAAAAATGGCTGCTTTTGTGGAAGGGAATTCCTACAAAGACTTGTATGAATTGTGCAATTTACTCTCAAATACCCTCTTCTGTTCTCCTTCTAAGCAGACACTACTCAAAGTACTCACCACTGGTATACCACGTGGGGTGTGCTGTATATAGATAAGATAGTTGTGGAGCTGCAGAGAGTAAAGAAAAAAAAGTTAGAAAAATTCACCTCAAACTGGAATAATTACTACCTGCACAGTCCATATAAGATTTTGGGAAGTTAATATGCCAGGTAAATTGCCAATTTCATCCAAGTTTTTAAAGCATGTAGTCTATGGAACGACAGTTGGTGCCCCTTTTGAATCAAGAGAAGCTTCAGGATAGAGACAGATTTCACTTCCTGAGAGTTTCCACAAGGCCCAAGTAATGTATCTGTAGGACACAAATGTCTCAGACTTAAG